GGGTAAAAGATCGTCATGACCGAGATAACGTGAGTTGGCGCAGCGATTGTTAGGTCACGTTTTTCCGACCTCACATTTCGCCCCCGTTTAAAGGCGAGTTCCACGAGCTGCTTATCAGGTTGACTTTCTTGATATCGTTAATGCTTAGAACCCTAATATCTTGGTATTCTACTTTGGTAGTGCGGTAGATTTGGGCCATCCCAACAAAGACGAAGACGTCATACACCTTAAGAGCTCCGGTGTAATAATAGGGTGTGACCATGCCACGGAGTGCTCTCTTCTGTGCTGGAGTTGCTTCTGCGAAAATCACCCCCAGGTGGTAGGCATACACCAAAGTGTTGATTCTGTCTCGAAGCCGAATAGATCGAGTAAGTAGGGGACAGGTCAGTGTTATCCGGTTTGCCAGATCATCCGAGTCGCGATAGGGCGGCAGAATCGGAGTTACTTCGGTAGGTTCGGATCGGGTGATGTCGTTAACGATTTCATCTAACGTAATCGATCTTCTAACCATTTTAGCTATATATATGAATAGTATTTGACGATCTTCAAATTTTTACTCTCTCTTTCCCCATTTTCGTATCCTTTTTATATCTTTTTATTTCTTCCTTGATCTTGACTTTGAGTCGATTTTCTTTTATTACCCTTTCGCCTTTTTTGGTAATTTCATTTCCATTTTCTAAATTCCCCCTTTATTAAAATTTTTTTTTTTTTTTTTTTTTTTTTTTTTTTTTTTTCAACACAGGGGTAAGCCCAGTAAAGGTCATTCGTTGTTTTCCCCCGGGGTCATATACGCGAGTTTCATTCCACTGCGGTAAGTATAGGGTGGATCTTTTCACTCGATTCTTCTTGACAGGTTGGCTTTCGTCCCACTTCGCTAACTTTACCTTCTCCTTTGTTTCAGTAGACCAAGATTTCCGAATCAAGATCTCCCACGGCGTATACGTTTCGGAACCCTTCGTTTGTTCTTCATCTTTGTCCATGGACCATGCTACGACTTGACCAGGGGCAGCGTCGAACGTCGGGGCTCGAGGTGGTACGAATTCTTCCCTCTTATTTTCATCGAAGTCACCCTCGTTTTCGCCTAAAAATACTCTAACTTTTTTCTTCCACTTTTCATTAGCTTTTTCCAAATCCTTTTCCACTATTATTCCGCTTGGGTCAAACCCACCAGGATCGAATTGTTCTTTCGAATCGACGTCTTCCGCACGTTTCCAACGCCATCCACACGCTTTGTTTTTTTCGGTTCCGATTTCATTTTCGTAGCGATCTCCAACCAGGTACGTTGCATCTGCATCATCTGACTCTGCAGATTTTTGAAAAAAAGCGGGTGTCTTATTTTCATACTTTTCTGCTCCAATTCCGTTTCGATAACGTCCACCAATATTTGTCGCGTTTTCTTCGGCTTCGACAAGTTCTTTTTCGGTAATTTCTTCCGCTTCTTTTTTCCATCCGTTTACCCTTCTTCGAAATTCTCCGACTTTCTTTATCCACAATTCGCAGGCGCCATCTAGGTCTCTTCTCTCTTCGGTAAGTTTTTTCACGTCTTCCTTCTTTTCATCGTCTTCTTCATCTACAGTCGTCTCATCGTCGTCATCGTTATCTTCTTCATCGTTTTCATCAGCTTCGTCATCGTCGTCTTCCTTATCCTCGATTTCGCCTACGGTTTTTCCGATTTTCGCGGGTACGTTTTTCTCATTCTTTCCTTCCTTTTCTTCTTCAATTTCTTTCTTTTCTTCTTCTTTAACTTCAACTTCTTTTTCATCCTCTTCAACTTCAATCCCCTTACTTTCATCCTTTTCAACACCACTTTCCTGCGGAGGTTCTTGGACGACTTCTTCCGGAGCCCACTTTCGTGTGATGGCTTCGCATTCAGTAACTAGTCGTTGGAGAAGGACTTCTAGGTCGATTTTTCCTTCTTCAGAGCCAGAAGCAACACTTTCAACGGGCTCTTCCGCGGATTCTTCGAGGTCGTAGTAGGCGTCGAATATTTCGGTTACGGTAGGTGTTGGTGGTCGACACTTCGGGGGGACTCTCGGGACGGAGACTACGGAAGGTACGGACGGTGGGGTCAACTGGATATACGAGGGCAGGTATATAATGTCTTCTCCTTCTTCATCGTCGTCTGGGTTGTTATCCCGGCTAACATCTATTAATATTTTAAAAAAATATTCTAGGGCTTGCGGGTCATAAAGACTACGGTCTCTTATGGTTTCATCAACCATTTCCCGAACTTCCGCGATTTGGTCCTGGGTAAGCGTATTCAACAACTCTAAACTTTCTAGCTGCATCTTTCTTATCTTTGGGCAGCTACTAGCGTTATGGTTTCCTTTTCTACAATAGGAACACCAAGTCTTTCGTCGAGGCCTTTGTCTAGTTGTTTTCGTCGTTCGGGATTCAACTTTCTTTCGAGGTTGGTTACACATCGGCAAGGGGTAAATATCGTACATTTTTTTTGAATCACCACGGACTCTTGACTGTAGGTAAGTACTGGTCTCTTCCTTGAGTCTTTCCTTAAACCCTACTATCTTACTAACTCTTGTCTTTCTTGATACCTCAACCCAGGATTACAGTACGTTGAATCGGGGTTGGCACTCTTCCTTTTGAGTAAGTTTTCTCTTTTTCCTCTAACTTCGGCTTTCCACACTTGTAGGTACTAACCGAAACTATACTAATTCTTCTCTTTTTCCACAGCCAGGATTGCGGTACGTCGAATCGGGCTGGACTATCTTCCTTGAGTCTTAAGTTTCGGGTCTTCTAATTTTGCAGCCCAGCTGCTTGAAACGATTCGTTGCCGGGGATGTTGTACGATCTCACAGTCACCACCAAAATGTGATGACTAGAAAACGGCGTCTCGGTCGCTCCACAATCCAAAAACTCGTGTAACCTGGGTAAGTAACCTTTCGAAAGAGGTGTGTTAGATTTGGCTGGTGGTGATTTA